GTCAACAAATGATAAATTAACGTGGCTCATCTTCACTTTGTGTGAAGATGATGATGTCTATCGTCCGGTTAACGACCTATGCGAATCTCTATTTAAGCATTTTAACTCGAAACGGAACTTCATAATCGCAAAACAGGTCTTCGTGTGCCAGTCCTCATTTATGTGCAATCTTTCTGATGGGAAAGGTGACCTTCAGGCGACAGCTTCGTCCTGCAACCTTTGCTTAGCAACTCTCGGTGCCTAGAATGATGTTATTCGCGATCCTGCTGGAGAGGCACAGTTCTCGCAAAACATATTTGAGTTGATAATGATGCACACACACATACATATATATATATATGTATATATATGTATATATATATACTATTGCTTCATGCGGCGACATTTCAGCTATTGAAACTATGAGGAAAAACTGAGTCAAGAAGAATTCTTTAGTTATTTCTTGTGACATGGCTTTCCATTTCAAAGGAAAAGTTGGTTGGAAGCAATCCGTAGATTAGTATCACCGGCACCGGGAAGTGTCATCGGTACTGTGACAGACGTCGTTTGACTCGAATCCGTACTTTACGAGACAGTGCAAAAAATATCCCATTTCACGAATTCCTTTTAACCGATTTTTTCTTCTGAATGCAAATTCATTCCACAATTTCGCCGATTGTTTGGACAGTGCGTATTCCAATTGTGTCTAATTTACAAACTCGCCAGCATGGCAACACAGGCTTCATTCGAGGTTTCCGATTCATCGAATGCTTTGTACCTTGACAACGCGACTCGAACTCTGGGTCCGCCAAGAAGGCGTGATCATCACTTCTGGCCGACTCGGCCAACTGGCGAAATGCTGTATCCTCGGGTGTTTTGAGAAAATGTACTCGATCCTCATCTCCGCTTTTCGCGGAACGCCTTTGTTTACCGAAGCCTGTACGGTCGCTCCTTTGGCCAGTCAGCGCTCTCTTCAGGACGGGAAGCATTTTGGTGAATCGGGGTACCAGAAGGTGGCGGTGGAGAGACCTATATTGTTTGGCGAAGTGCATCCTGTCGGAAACCAGTCATCTGACTTGTGTAAACAGCAACTAGTTTGGACGGAACATACATCGATTGACGGCTAACCTGCTATTTCGTCCGTTTTCGTGTATTCCTCTTCTTGAATGCATGTATGACCATTTCTGGGTAGCTACATGTGTACATGTGTGTACATGTGTATGTATGGAGATATTCTTCCTAATCAGTGCATATATACAGTTCCGAATAAACAGAAAACTCAAGGCGAGACAGGAAGAGCAAGCGAATCAGCGCCAATGTTTGCTCGTCCCTTTGTGTCATTCTGTGCGTCTGCTTGGCCTTGTTTATGTTTGTTTGTGTGAGCGGTCGCCAAATGGAGAGCAAAAAACGTATGAAAGAATGATAAACATTGCGAGCAAAATCCTAATGTGCCGTGTTAACACACACACACACAGACGTACAGGAACACACAGACCACTGAGACGCTGGTTTAAGGTCAGACCGATTGGGCCAGTGGTGCGCTTTCCCAACGAGGCCAGATCGTCGTTTAGCGCCCGTCTCGGAATCGGTATCCAGCACTGAATGGTGCCAGGTCGATTGCCTCACTTGTCATCTGCACCAAAGCAATACTGTGTTTTGGCATCTATCACAATCTCTATCGTATCATCAAAATACGACAAATGCACAAGTGACTGACTTTCGGCCTCCTTAACACCACTCCTCGTGGACTGATTCCCGTGGCACCATCATCGCCTATAGATGAGTTGGCATGGTGATGCAACACCACCTGGGGTATGCCAATCGTCGCTCAATTGGACGACCGGATGAAGGGATAGATACTTTGCTGTATGTATATATATATATACATGCATACAAATAGACGAATGGATGGTGGACGGGCGAGATAGTTGGATGGACGTTGATAGTGCTATACTCAGACGGAATGGTGGACTGACTGTTGGGCAGCCTAGGCAATAAAAATGGTGGTACAAATTGGTGATCAGACCAACCGACCTGGACGGAAGCAAAGGAGAGTGATAAACAAAGCTGTCGATTGCATGTTTGTTTGTGCGAATGAAGCCTCTAACCCGGTTGCAGGATTACCGACATGCTAAAATTAGACTGTATCATCTCTCCGTGCATTTGCGCCTGTCCACTGGGTGCCCGTGTGAAGTGGTACGCCTGTCTGTACATTTATCTCTATTTGTCCCGGTTCAGATCGGGGTATTCTGCATATTTCGGTAGGATTTAGGTTCTATTCTCTCTCTCTTTCTCTCTCTTTGCTTTTGTTATTTGTTACTGACTCTTTCGACCACTTTCTCCTAGCTGCATTCGTACAGTTGTACACACGTCCACTCTTTTTCTACACGGATTAGAGGGCTTGGTCTTATGCCGTCTTGTCATATCAAATATATGCATTTTCCGGTCACTTTCGACCTAGGGTTGCATGGTTCGGGCTTTTCAATCATTATTCGGAGTGTCTTGCTCCGAGAATGCTCAAAAGTGTAAATCTTTCAGACATACCTGCGGAATGAATGTACACTCGACTCACTGAGGGTACCTACAGAGGAGTCGATCTGTGGGTCGTGATTTCAGGGCGATCACAATGGGCTCATTCCACATTCTGTCAGGCTGGACACACATTTGGACACGTTTTGGCGTCAAGCCTTTTCTGCACATCTTCTTTCAGAGGACCAGGTTTGATGCAATCTTTTCACAGTCCCTAGCTATCATTTTGTTATATGCGGACCCCATCCTCCTCGGCGTATTGCACCATTTTCTGACATATTACATTAAGAAATGCACACTCCAATTCGGTTATGTGATTTGTGGACGTCGATTTGCCATGAATTCGCTTGTTCTCGTCCTGCTGTCTGCTCCTTAGTGAAATGAGGATATATGTAATTTTTTTTCTTAATTCATGGAAATCAAGTGTAATTCAAGCGATTCCGCTTCATCACCCGCCTACAGTTTCTGATGGTTTTCATACAACATGTGGGTATGCTTTCAATTCCGTTACAGAGATTAATTATTTTTGGTCTAATCTGCATCCAGTGAATGGGGCAAATTGGCTGGTTGTTACCTCACGTGTGGAGACCGAAAAATAGGCAAGTGTAGACATTAAGGCTGAGAATACCTTTTGGTAGGCAAGGCTATGTGAAATTCAATGGGATCGTAAAGTCTACTCATATGATTGTGGGAAAATTCAACTACCAGTCTTTCGAAATAAGATGAATACGTAGCATATATTAATGCTGACCGATTGTATGAATGTATGACGGTTTGAAGCATATATTGGCATATTTGCAGGCACTTTACTGAGCCTCACAGGAATCTTCCTCACAGCAGGAGAGTACG